ATTTCTTGTTGGTTTGTTTGTTTTGTTCTTCCTACAATGACTCAAATAGGCTGCCTTGGAAAGAAGAACCCCTAAGAAATAAAAAGAAATTAAAAAACCCTGAAAATAAGATGTCCTTTTGTTCCACATACTTGCCAAATAACCTCAGCCAAGACTGAGTTCTAATAACGTCCAGGAAGTGAATCAGCACACTACAAGTGTAGCCTTTCCTATGTGTCCTTGGGTAGTGTTGTCAGATGTTATGTCAGCATGCACAAGGGTTTACTGAACCTAGTATGTGGCCTTGAATCTAATAGAGGGAGACTGCATAAAGGTCTGACCAAGGTAATGTTCATCTAGCTATTATTGGTCCTCTAAATGGAAGAGGCTCTCCATGGCTCACCTGCTTCCTGCTCTTTTTTTATCAGCTCGGTGCTTCTGTGTGAAGCTTGCTCTGTTTGTGATGGTGAGCCTTCAAATTAGTGGTGGACTCTGGCTATCTGAGGGGCGGGGGCAAAAAAACGGCACCAGCTGCGTGTGTTGGGGCACCAGCTATGGATGTTTAAAAAGACCTTGATACAATGTTCAAGGCAGGGCCCTGTTCTTTCTTATTAAAGTTGCTCAGTAGTGCATAAAGCCAGCCAACTTCTGATTGAGGCGTCCACTAACTGGAATGGGAATAAAATAATTTACTTGTGTCGCTCTCCTAGACTGTGACATTTTATCGGACTGAATGAATCAAATCACAATACTGTAACAAATCATTATGCAGGGGTTGTGACGTTACGTCTATAAGAAAATGTCTTTTTGGGCCAAAAAGCAAATCTGGCTTCAAAAGCCCAGCAGACTCTCTTGGGGGCATGCACCAGAGTGCAGAATGGTGTGATGCGTTGAATTGTTCCATAACCTGGTTAAAATAAAATGGTTTTATTAAAACTACATTTTGGGGCTTTTTTACTATTATCCAGTCTTTTAAGAGACTGTGCCAAACTGAACAGAAAATGTTCCTCCTCACCACCATGTTTTGCTCGCAGTACAACTTCCTTGGAGGAGCTGGGCTGGCCAATGACCTTCCTCTGTGTACAGCAGGTTTAGCAGGTATCGCTGTAGGTGGTGCAGAAACAGAGTGGGGTGGGGTTTTGGCAGGAACAAGGACAAAGCAGTTGACTTGTGTCCTCCTGTTTGTCATCCTCGCTGCACCAGTCTTGGGTCATCTGGTCAACAGAATATTTCAGCTTGGACATAAATTACCAGAGGAATTAATTTTTAATATTTTAACAAAGCCTATTAACAAATACTTTTCAGCTTTATTGCCCAGTCTAAAACATTTGCCTGAAAAGTAATTAAAAAGTAATCTAATGTAATAAGTTACTATGTTACTTTGATTAAGTAATTAAGATATTCAACAAGGCAACTAGTAACCATTTTCTCTCTCTCTCTCTCTCTCTCTCTCTCTCTATATATATATATATATATATATATGATATAGCTCGGCAGTGACAGACACAGCTACAAAAGGCTTGACCATTTTTTTGGTTACCACGGTAACAAATCCCGCTCCATCTGACTGGTTGTCTGAAAAGGTGCAGCCATAACAATACCAGTGCCTTTCTGAAAAATCTGGAGATTTTCAACTGGAAGCGCTGGAAAAAGACACAACAACGTAATGCACTGGAAGTCGTATACACTGATCAGCCAAAACATTAAAACCACTGACAGGTGAAGTGGATAACTTTGATTATTTCATTCCAATGCATTGTTCTGCTGGGAAACCTTTGGTTCTGGCATTCATGTGGATACCACCTGACACTCAAACACTGTTGCAGACCAAGTATCACCCCTCATGGCAACAGTTCTCCCCAATGGCAGTGGCCCCCCAGCAGAAAAAAGCACTATGCCACACTACAAAAACTGTTTAGAAATGGCCCGTAGAGCGTGACAAAAAGCTCAGGGTGTAGACCTGGCTTCTAAATTTCCCAGGTCCCAATCTGTTCAAGGATTCTTGTGATGTGCCGGTACCCCAGATGTACCCCTAATCCAAGGTGGGGCCTCCTTGGATGAGACTTGGCTCTGACCTGTCGAAGCATGGACACAGGATCTCTGGGAGTGTCCTGCGGTGTCTAGCTCCAGTGCGTTGGTGGCAGATCCATTTAGTCCAGTGGGTTGTGAGGTGGGTTAATGGCACGTGCCACAGATGCTTATTCAGACTGGGATCTGGGGAATTTGGAGGTCAGATTGACACTTTGAGGTCTTTGTCACATTCCTTGGGCCATTCCTGAGCGATGTTTGCAGTGTACTGAATACTGTACTGAGTACTGTTGCCATGAGGGGGGATACTTGGTCTGCAACGGTGTTTGAGTGTCAGGTGGTATCCACATGAATGCCTAACCTAACCACCTAACCTAGCTTATGTAACTTCACAGTGGTGGACGGTAACAAAGTACATTTATTTAAGTACTGTACTAAGGTTTGTGAGTATCTGTACTTAACTGAGTATTTTTTGGAAACATATTACTTTGACTCTACTACTTTGCTTTGAAGTGAACGGATGATTCTTTTTTTTTTTTTTTTGAAATGCAGAAGTCCATAAACTATGACCATGCAGCTCTGTGTGTGGTTTATTTGTGGAATTGGTGTTCTCGTACCTCTACCTCACGCATGCACTACTCAGATTGGGACAGGTGGTTGTATTTGGATATGCAGTGTAACTATGGTGACAGCAGCAGATGGAGATGAAGATTCCCCACCAGATCACCCATGGCCATACCTCAGGTCCATATATAAAGTTTCTGAGATTAAGAATGATTTGTATTGTTTTAAATGCTTGCTCTGTTGACTGCACACAAATGTCATCACAGCCTACGGAATTCGCCATCAAACTGCAGAAAGCATGTTGAGGTATGTAAACATTTGCTCGATTCCAGATTAATATTACTAATTACTTTTTTAAAAGCAAGTACTCCATTACTCTAACTAAAGTGATAATATGACTCAGCAACTTTAACTTGTAACGGAGAAATATTTGACAAGGAATATTCATACTCTGATTCTTTGAGTAATAGAGTTATGTACTTTGTCCACCACTGTAACTACATAACTTTACTTGCCTAAACCTAACCCACGTTACTTAACTAACTACATAACGTCATGTGCAGGGCGCTAATTCATTAGATATCATATCAACTGTTGTGGGTGCATTTTTGTAAGATATCATATGAACTGTTGTATGAGGATATGTTGCCTTAAACAACTACACTTCTAATAAAAACAAACAAGGAACCAATGAAGTGGCCAACAACTAACAATTTATGGTTATAATGAAGAGTACAAGTTGTTTTGACCTTGATTCGTTAGATGGATGCTTACAGACAGTCACATTGTTCAGTATGATGGACGTTGTCAGTGTGCCAGGTCATATTTTGGACTGTCCAGAAAATATTGGGGTGAGGAAGAAGATTTATTCTTACATTTAATTCTATTATAAAGCAAGGTCCTCACCTGCATAGAGAGAGATTTTCTTTAGACCCACCCTTTAATTTAGAAAGACATAAGGAGCTCAAGACAATATATTTATGGCAAACCCTTCCCTCTTCCGGAAAGAGGATAAGCTACAGAGGGATGTTGGCAGAGATATGATCAAGAGTGGATATTTGGCTTGAATTTGGTAAACGTCTGAGGGTCATCTGTCATCCACCAGTAGCTCCTGAATACAGGAAAGTGCTTTGAAAAGGAGATCGATTAACCCCTAGAATAATTGGAAAATTCAGAAAGAAATTAGACTGGATCCTCTTTGTTTAGCAAAAAGTAGTCCTCAAGCCATGTCATCCATCAAAAGTTAATAACCATATTCACAAATACTGTCAGGAATCGAGTCTCAGGGATATAATTAAAAAGTTCAAGAAATGGTCATTTATATTCCTGAAATGAGCAGTGGTAAACTGGTTGCTAAAAGGGACAGCTAGCTTCCCTTCATCCGTCAAAAGCAGAAAGACAGGGCCAAGGTCAGCCAGGCTCCTAGCTGCTCACACTGTCAGCAATATGTGAGCTGGAAATTAAATGTGCTGCCATGTACACACACACACCTGACACTGCTCCTATCAAGTCAATAGGCAATGTACACAACTCTCTTCTGTTACAGCTGTCTCATTTTTGTGTTTCTTATCTACATTTTACTTGGAATCAAGATACTAATTCAGCAAATGTGCAAATATTGAATTTTATGATGACGTCTTGATGATGCTTTTAAGCTTGTGTGATTATTCTGTCTCATTTATAACAGTGCCTGTACTATTGTTGAATGGTGTTAATATTGATTGCTTGTATAACAAGTTCTCTTCTATAATTAACACTCTCCTTAGTTTCTTCATACCTACAAGAGGATGGAAACTCTCCATGCCACTCACTGACAACATGCAACTAATAAACACTGCCGTCACAAGAAAATACCCACAAATCATAATGTACATAGGTAACAGGTCTGTGGTGGTTGAGCTGTACAACATAAGAGCATCCTTGCAGATAGGAGCTAAATGACCTGAAACTCAATACACATCCATATGACACTTTTCACATGTGAGGGACAGAATCTACAGCACCAGCTGAGAAAACACACAGTCCCTCCTTGTGCTGAAGTAGCTCCTGTTAGAGAAAGAAAGCACCGATACAAAACAGTACAACTGACACAGATCCAGCTTACTGTCTTGATTATTGCTCCTTTCATTGCTTTTATAGCACTCTGAATCTCCTTGCTAGTGTATAAATACCCAGTTGATATCTGAGGAATGTTCACTTATTTGAAATGGTCTGGATGAAATGACGACATGCCTAAACTGTAAACTGCAATATCTTTGCCTTTTTGGTGACTAAATTAAATTGCCCTGTCATGTGCTCACCTTTGGTTAGAAGATATATTTGGGTTAAACAAAAAGGTTCAAGTTGCCTAAAAGTGATTTTCTGTGTTAGTGGATAAAATGCAACACAATTTTAGCTTACTGTCTGCATTCCCTATTGAAGTACTCCAGTGAGGTCAAAGATTATTATAGCCCAATATCACAAGGGGCTGAACAAATATTAAAAACAGTAGTGAGCAACAACAGAACAACAGTTTAACTTAGGACCCAAATACAAACACAACCAGGAAACTGGGAATGGTTAATGGCAGTTCATTGTAGTTTGAAGATGGGGGCTGAAGGCTTGAGTGAAATGATGGCTGAGGTGGGCTTGGAATGGCAAAGCAAAGCAGGCCGTGGGGCTGAAGGCGGAGCAGTCCAAATCCGGAGGCAGAAGACGAGAACGAGGCTGGACATGGCTGGTTATTGTTGAATTTTGATCACACATATTGTTGGTGAACCTGAGACACAGAAAAGAATGTGAATTGAGGTCGAAAAAGTACAAAATCTAGCAGAGTCCGGATGTCTGAGCTGGGGTTTTGTACTGCAGAGGCCTGATTGTTGTGCAGGTTCAGCAGCTGCGTTCAGGAAGACTGGCAGTAGGAGGGAACCAGGAGGCCATGCCCAGCAAACACACAGAGACGGACTGAAAATAAACATGAGACCCTACGAAGGGTTAACAGGAAACACAAGAAAGAGGCAAAACCGAAACCCTAACACAAAAATGTGTATGTGGGATAAACTACATACAGAGCATTACAAACCGAATATTTGACATATATAGTATACATACAGTAAAACAGTAATGAGCAACATTAGCTAAATATATATAGACAGAGTAATTTAGATGACTGTATTTTAGTAATTCTGACAGACTAAATAAGGCTGAAGGCTGATGCAAAGAGATGTGTTTTGAGTTGACTTTTAAATATGTTGACTGAGTTAACCTCTCAACTTTGAGTAGGAGGACGTTTCCAAAGAAGTGGTGCTTGGTAAGAGTAGGCCCAACCACCTACTGATGTTCTTTTTATTTCTGGAATAGTCAGGACATTGGCATTTTGGGATTGTCGAGCCCTAGCAGGTGTGACTGGGTTATAAGTAGGATGGTGCAAGTTGTAATATTTTGTTGATCAAAAGTAGAATCTTGAAGTCAGATCTAGCATGTACAGGGAGACAATGCAACAAAATAAAGACAGGAGTAATGGGATCAATTTTTCTAGCCTTGTCTAAGATCCTAGCAGCAGTAATTGTTTTGAAAGTTGTAGTTTGCTAATAGATGATTTAGGTAAGCCAGAGAAAAGTGTATTACAGTAGTTAAGACCCAAGCAAAGGAGTTCAAGCATCTTCTAATCTAGTTCACAAGTAAGGGTTAAATGGAGTGTGAGATGGACAGGTAATTTGGAGCAGTGTCAGCAGTGATGTGGGTGCTCCTTCAGACCATTGTGGTGAAGAGGGAGCTGAGCAAGAAGGCAAAACTTTCGAATTACAAGTCACCCAATACCCGACAATGGTCATTAGCTTTGGATAGTGACCAAAAGAATGAGATTGTGAATGCAAGAAGCTGAAAAGAGTTTGCTCTGTAGGGACGCTGGGCTCAACCTTAGAGATCAGGTGAGGAGCTCAGACATCCGGAGGGAGTGCAAAGTAGAGCTGCTGCTCCCAAGTGTCGAAATGGGCCAGTTGAGATGGTTCGGGCATCTGATCTGGATGCCTCCTGGGCAACTTTTGTTAGAGTTGTTCCAGGTACGTTCAACTGGTAGGAGGCCCTGGGGCAGACCCAGAGCACACTGGAGAGATTATATATCTCAGTGGCCTGGGAATGCCTCGGGAACCCCCAGGAGGAGCTGGAAAGCGTTGCTGGGGAGCAACAGCAGTACTTTGCTCAGCCTGGATGGATGGATGGATGGATGGATGGACAGTAGTCAAGCAGAGCCTAGGTACTTCCATTCATTATGATAACATGTCATCTAAGTAGGGTTATCACTGGAATATTTGTTTTAAACAATGCATTGTAAAAATAGGTACAGCTTTCGTTTGCTGGCTCGAATGGTTCGAATACATTGTAGAAGATTTAAACTGGGTCCCAATGTAACTGCAGAGAAGGTTATTGATTTAAAGTTTTACTCCAAAGAGGAAAATGGAGAAATGAGAGAAGCTAAAGTGCTTTTCTGCTATTATTGAAACTCTTCACAGTCTCACATGGGTTTTCTTGATTGAATATCAGGCCTGACCTCAGGTACAACTGATTGGAAAATATCTCTTATGTTGACACGCATGTAAAAACAAGTTTAAAGTGAAAGGAAAAACAAAAAAATTGTAACATGTAAAATAACATTGCAGTTTTCCTCTAAAGTAGCAGTGCTACACTGTTCATTAAACGGAGAAGACTTCTCTCAATGACACTGACAAAAGTACATGAAAAAGTGATGAAGGGTCCCAGCTTGTAATTTGCACCACTGTCACATCATCCACTTTATGGTTGAGGGGCGTAATATTTAGACACAGTAGCTGTATTTCACTGCTAATTTCACAGATTTGTGTAACAGCGTTGCATAAATGACACTCCTGCGGTAATCCTCTCCACACAGCCAACCTTATAAGTGACTAGCTCATCCGACACAAATTGTTTTCAGCCACCTGCCCTCCGGCTTTATCGACCACTGACATGTTTCATAAAGGCTGCACCCCTGTGAGAGATTTCCTGGGGCGCCTGAGCAACAAGCTGTGATTACATGGCTTCTTTCATGCCACGGTCTTTCTCTTTCTGTTCACAATGTGATTGGCTGAGGTGATGGAAACATTAGTCTGCATGGTCTTATTTTCCCCTCTCCTGTTAGGATTTTTCATGCCTCACTTGGTGCTCCATCAGTGTTTGCAGCTTTTGTCTCAGAGCTGTTTTTCAGATTGATGATCCGCAAGGTTGATGTGCCTTTAAACCACAAACAAATTCTGCAGGAGCGTAACTGTTACTGCACCAACTAGTCTCTTTTCTCTTGTTTTTCTTTCGTATCGCTGTGTTGGGTTTTAAACTAAAAACTTTTTTCCTCTACTTCGGCATACAGAATGGCTCTCACATCAGAAGACTGAAGAAAAGTTTAAAGAAACTGCACTATTAAATAAAGTGTACATAAAGATATGGAAGTAATTCCATCCATTGTCCGTTACTCTGCATGATCATTTCTCAAAGCCATTAAAATGTTTTAAATTTAAATGTGTCACTCAAGCACACACTATGCAGATATTTAAATGTTAAAATTTAGAGAAAGTTGGTCATCGATGCAGCCGGTTTGTGTATTGTCTGTTATAGCTCTGATTGTCTCTTCTACTTCCAAAAAAAATGTAGGCTAAAGTATTTCACTTTTGTTCAAGAAACGTTGAATAGTCTTGAAGTACCATAAAGAAAACAAATTAGACAATACAGGGGGAAAAAAGAAAAACAAGGAAAATATATAAAAATATATTTTTTAAGTTTTTGTGATCTTATTTTTGTAGTCATAGACAAAAATTAAACTCCAAAGTCCCAAATGGTGATCACACTCAAAGGGAAATAAGTGAAGGGATAATTGTCAGCCCATAACCCACTGAGGTCTCTGACTTTCAGCCACTCAACAGGTAAAAGGGGACATTCGTGCACTTATTGCTCTAGGAAATAACGCCAGCAACTGAGCCACAAAAAAATAAAATAAAATAAACATAACTGAGTATTCCAGGTGCAACTTTTCCATGAAAAAAAAAATAGAAAATATAAAGAATTGATGAATACAACAAGACAAAAAGTATGTCCCACAGCTCTGCAGCCTCACATATGAGACCCTGGAAATTATTACTTATAAATGGCAGCCTCTTGAACTTTGCATCTAAGGCAGATGCTCCATGATGGACCTGCTGTACATCCCCATATCACTATTCAACCTCCCTGACCATGTCATCCTCTGACATCCTAAAATTCTCCAACAATTTAGCATATACAGTGGGCTGAGCTTCCTCACACATGATGGTGGTCACACTTTTCACTGGTCACAGTAGCTTTGCCAAGTCTTAAGCTGCAGTGCTCACTTAGGCTTAAGTCTTAAGCTCACTTTCGTTGAGTGTATGCATGCCATTCAACATTTCAAACAAACTGTTACAGCATGTGATCACGTCTTGCTTCAGTTTGTGTTCTGAAAGTCCAATCAATGTCTGCTTCTCTTTCACAGCTGTGGTCACTACTGTGCTGCAGTGGAAAAATGACACGACCAATCTCACTCTGCCCAGAAGACATGCTGCACCAGAACATATTAGTTTTTATTTTGGGTGGCCAAGTTTATGGTATGGCCGAAGCATCTAATGCTTGATGATAGATTAGCCTCTACTACAGCTATGGACATGTAGCTGGTGTTATCAGTCCCAAGTGCAGATTTTCTGTCACATATATTCCACTGCTCACATGCTTCTTTCAAAACAGATTTGCTCCTGTGTGTGCATCGTTCACAATACATATCTGCAGAACATAATTTTTCAGTTGCCAGTGGGTGTCAATATGATGACAAGTCACAGTTACATAGGCTTCTGTTGTACATGATGTCCATCCATCTGTAGGGATAGCGCCTCATGTTGCGTTCAATAACTCAGGTTTAACCGCATCTTTAACTTGACTGTACAACCTCAGTAAGCAAGTCTCACTCAGTGTTGTCTCGATCGGGCTACATATTTTGTCTCCAGAGTATGCAGTAGCTTGTTTTTCGACAACACTGAAAGACCTTTATCTTCTAATGGCATTGTTTGTATAGCCTGGGCTTTGACCCATCATTTCTAAGAAAACTGAAAAATTTCCACACTGCTAATTCATTCCCAAGAGGGGAGAAAATATCCCCACCATCTTCTGGCGCTGGGATGCAATTTGGTAGGAGATGCGCTTGGACACATATGCACAGATATGCAATTCCAATGTCACAAATAAATAAACGTGTGGGAAGCCGTGTTTCGGGTCCACAATGTACACTGTGGTATGTCGAGGCTTCACACAGAAGTCTTCATGCATTTTGATGGACTCTTCAGCAGTCTCCTATGCTTTAAGCAGCAGGGCTGTGTAAATTTCCTCTCTTACATTAACAAACAGACTCTGGACATCAGACAGCATAGCATCATCTGCCTCAATCTACCAAATGGCAACTGCAATTGGTTTCAGTAGCTTCAGGCTGCATACCACTCTCCCCCAAAAGACATCATCCAGCAAGATCCTCTTGATGGGGCTGTCAGTGTCTGCAGACTGTGATATGTTTATTTCCTGCAGAGACTCTATCCCCTCCTGGAGACTGTCGAACGTAATGACAACATTAACCTCATAGAGTTTTGCAGGGTAGCTTCAGCATGGTGCTCTTGTTTTTTCATTTTTGCTTGGTAAGGTAAATTAGGCTTCCTAGAGCGGAGTCCTCATCTTTCCTTTTGTCATCCTCAGGCCAGCAGCCTTTTAAGGGTGATAAGCTTCAATCCCACTAATATGGCAAACTTCTTTTAAAACCTGTCTAAAGTACTGGACTGCCACTGCTACCAAGCAACAGATGTGTGGAATGTAGATTAGACCAGCACAGTCACTGTCCAAGTGCCTGACCAAATAATTGCCAGCCAACGAAGGAAGCAGGTTGAAGCAACCACATCTGCAGAAAGAGAGAGATTTATCACTTTGGCATTAGAGGTCAACACTCAACAGCATACCACCTCACTTGGTGTTTCCATGCGAGACTAACCACAACCAATTTGTTTGTGATGGACCCAGACCACATTGGTTCATGCAGTTGGTCAGGGTGGATGCAGGAGACTTCCTGACACTTCTCAACCACTTTGTAAATTACACCAGAGCATTCCCTGAATTAAAAATGTGTTTGCTTCCTGACAACCATGTCTCTCATCTCTTACTGGAAGGCATCAAGTATCACAGAGCCACCAGTGTGGTTTCTTAATAACTTTAAGAAACATTGCGCAGTAGTCCACCTTTCACCTTCTTTTCCCTTCTCTGTCTCAAACATATACAGCAAGCCGCTTCATCATCAGTGCTGCTGCGCTCAGGGTTTCAGTTATCCAGTTTTTGACAAGCAAAATCTGTTGAATCCGACATTCATTATCTCTCCAGTCATAATGTCAGATATAGGTAAAATATCTCCCTCTGAGAATATGAAGGCCTAACACCATGTGGGAACTGCCCATTGGTCCGACAGCCCATTGGTCCGACATCCCATTGTTCCGACCATATTAAACCCATTGTTCCGAAGTCCGTTCCGAAATCATCNGGGAACTGCCCATTGGTCCGACAGCCCATTGGTCCGACATCCCATTGTTCCGACCATATTAAACCCATTGTTCCGAAGTCCGTTCCGAAATCATCACGATGCCCTGTGGTTAAGGTCTGGTTAGGTTTAGGCACAAAAACCACTTGGTTAGGGTCAGGAAAAGATCATGGTGTGGGTTAAAATGAAAAAGAAAGTGGCAAACACATAAGCCGCCTCAAGCCTTTCCCAGCTGACCCAGAGCCGGTTGCGGCGCACCATCAAGGTAGAAATACGCCCGCCGGGAGCCATTCAGCACCGCGGACAGTCAGACCAATGGGCTGTCGGACCAATGACATGGACCCCACCATGTCCCTACAGCAAGCAAATGTCTTTACACACTCAATCCATTAAATATGCACTTCTGTTACATCATATAGACAAATCACATCAGCTGTTCATACAAGATCATACTTAAGATGTAACCAGTTAATAGATGGCTGAGTAGGCTGTTTGCTGTCTTCCTATGTTTGTAGCCTACTACTTAAATTGTTAAGGTTTTTCATATTGTGATAGTGACTGTAAATTACACAGGTTACATCATAACCAACAGCAGGTAGGTTGTCATTAGTGATGGTCATTCCCAGAAGTTTGCAGGTTGGGTTCTGGTGTTTGATTAACCCATATGGATGCGGGTCATGTAGGGTGGATTGGCTCTCATAATGTGCTGTGTTAGTGTGCCTTTTAAAAATCACTGACCTGTGAATCATGTAGCAGAGGAAAGTTTACCCACTAATTGCACTGCTTTTTGAATATCCGAATCTTATTTCTCACGGTGTCCTGAAAAAAAAAAAAACATACAAAAATATGAATAAATGTTAGTGCACCATCCATTATTTAACACTGCTTTGTATTATTTTTAATGTAGGCTGATGTTTTAAACAAGTGACTGAATGAAAAAGCCATTGATCAGTTCTCCTTAACTGATTCTTTCATGCCTATACAACTGACATTAATCATGAAGAGGTAAACCCTTACTGCTCCATTTATTTATTGATTATTTTAATGTCTTGGCCTGTATCCTAGACTACATTTGTCACTGTTAAGATAATGGGCCCTTATCACTACAGACATTTTGAGTTGGCGTAAGCACAGGTGTGACCATGAAAGAATAATTAACACTTGAGCTGTGAGGTAGAGCAGGTCCTCCACCAATCGGAAGATCAGAAGTTCGATCCCCAGCTCCTCTAGTCTGCATGTCTGCAAGTATCCTTGAGCAAGATACTGAACCCCAAATTGCTCCTGATGATGCTTCCATCGGTATTTGAGTGTGTATAAAACTGAGAAACAGGTGGCACCTTGTATGGTAGCCTCGGCCACCAGTGAATGGGTGAATGTGACTCGTAGTGTAAATGGCGCTTTGAGTGGTCGGATGACTAGATGGGCGCTATACAAATGCAGGTCCATTTACCAATTATAATTTTGCCAGCCATCATTTTGAAATCACACTTCTGTGTGTAACTACCTTTTGTGTTGTGCTGGGCCCAAGTGTGTTGCTGACAGCTGGAACAAATTATTGACTGACCACGGTCATCGAAAACTAGGCAGTCACTTCACTCCCCACTAGCGGCTTTTCTCCACCTCTCACTGAAAAATTGGCTTTTAATTTTTGGTTTGTGAACTTGAGTTGTCTTCTCATGTGTAGCCTATGTGTGCTGACATCAGATGCTCTTTACACCTGCAGTGTAACACACATTATTGAAACAGTACCTCAGATCAAGCTATTTACCTTTGTGATGTTTCTTCTTGTTTTACAGCGGTTGATATCCAGCTTATTGGTGCAGTACCACCACCTTCTGCTCTGGAGTGTGGATCAGTATCCCAACAAAGAGCAAAAGTAACAATATGCAACATAAATTTCCGGACTGATTGGATCTGACTCATTTATCCAAAATAAGAATTTAAAAAAATGTTTGGTATTGGTATTTGTTCTTCACAATAAAAATATGGTTACTCTGGCACTGGCATCTCTGTGTAGTCAGAAAAGTTTTGCTTTTATCCTGGCCCTCCTGTAGCGTGGGCCCACATGTGATGGGCATGTGCACTGTGCAAGCAGAGGGTTGATTATTTAAAGGGATGTTGGCCAATTTTTTGTTTATTTGAATTGTGCGCTGCCAATTGCAGTTCACGGTTACAAGTCTTGGTCATACTTTTAACCAAAACATGCCATAAGACCCAGTGTTGCTTTTTATATGTACTTCCCCCCAAAATGATCAGTATTAAAAGGGTTTTTTATATTGTGCTAAATTTTTTAAAATTCCCTGACTTGAGCTTCCTTTGGAAAATATCCCCAAATTTCCCAGCACTTTGCAACCCCAGTCTTGAGCTCTCTTAATGTAAATTACAATGTTGGAGCTCTAACTGCATTTTACTTCAGCTCTATGGTCTGTATACATATGTGTATTGTGTAATATGAATACAAATATTTTTTATTATTTATTTATTTTTCTTTAAATATCAAGGAGCATCTGTTTCTAGTCTGCAAATGAGAAGCGTGGTGAAGTAACTAACATTTCTTTGTGCATATATATCATAACATATTTATGGACACTGAAAAATTGAGAGGCAGTTTTACAGTGAAATGTGTGTACATGGAAATACCTCCAAGCACTCTGTCAGAAAAGGCTGGTGGTTAAACTTGTTCAGGGTGAAAACTAATAATAGATTTACTAACTAAAATGTATCAGTGATGATGGCTTAAATGACAACAGCCAAAAAGCTTCTTTTCTTAGTTAAAGTATTACTAGTTTGTGTAGGGTTGTTTTAGCTAGGACCATAGAATAGAAGGAGAGTAGAATGTACATTCCTGTTCAAATCAGGACAGCAGGATAGTCAGAACCGGCCATTTTTATGTGTACCGTTGCCATTGCAACCGATGCAGTGGGCTAACTACCATACATATTTCCTTTTAAACAAGCCAACTTAAGGCAAGTCGTGAATTCACGGAGGTGAGGTTTTGCAGCTGAGCAGTGGAGTAGTACGTTTTCAAGTAAGCGATCCATAACTGTTTAAATGTTACCATAACTGTTATTTCCCTGTTTATTTTATCGTCATTATGCATGTTAGTTGAAACATGTGGCCTAAACTGAAGCTGTAGCTCCCTCTCAAATACAAAAAGCAAGAAACTTCGATTGGTGTATGTTTGTGTTTTCCGTTTAATAAGGAAAACAGGTGTAAGAATAGGCCAAGTCAGGGTTCTCAAACTAGGGAGTGTGTAACACTTTACAGCCCCACTGAGTGTATTCACCATTTCCTTTTGTACTAGTCAAATGACGGCAAACAGTTCAGTGTCTGTTCTACTCTTATTCTATTTCTATGTGTAGGACACTTGTTGCTGTCTAGCTGGTATCCTGTTCTGCACAGTGATCTTCCATAATTTTCACCCCTGCTATCAAGTTGTAACTCAAGCTGTGACTGCTTTTAACTGTGTGCCAACAGCAATAAATAACAGTATTTGGATTCTTTTAAGGGTGTTTTGGGGAACATAAAAGCAGCTACTCAGGATCCCATGCAATAAGTTGTAGGTAAAAAGACTGAGCACAGAATAGTGGGCTGAATGTTGACTGGTATTTTCGCACCTGTATTGTCAATACTGAGCACTTTCTTCTTTAACACTTGTCTTATTGAGTTGGGACCGCTCAGCACAATAATAAACCCGTAACGAGGCTGGTTCTTTGTGCCTAAACCAAACCATTTACTTCAGAACAAAGCGTGCCTTACGGGACACAGAGCGCAGGTGAGATGATGAGCGGGCAGCTTGTTCAGAAACCTGATCAATGTCACTGTGGTTATTTCCTTTGTTTTTACACCTGCATGCAGAGACTCAATAAATCCAAAAGTAATGATTGTGTGCTGGTGCAAGATTTGGTGAAGTCAAGCATAAATGCTTTTTCTCAGCAAGGGATGCTTGTTGAAGCACAGAATGCTTCTTGCACAGCTCGCCAGTCTCAGCAGCTGGCTATATTTAAACAATAATTTCTAGGCAGCATTTCCGCCTTATTTGGCTTGGATTGTGTTGATGAATGCCTCTAGGGAATCAAACAATTATCATGAGACTGAGGTTGGGGGAAATGTCACATGTGTGCCTTCTCAGTTCTCCTCATATGTATGCTCTGACTTGGTTGACAACAGCTAGATTTGAAAAATATGGGAAAACCAATACTGATTCTTTTTTAGATTTACTGTACATTTCAAGATAAAGGCCACAGTTTATCAAGTGTGTTGCTCTCTACACCATAAAAATTGTAACACAGATTTACAGAATGAAAAGCCATTCATAGGGTTTAATACCCTCCCAATCCAAGACTAATTCTGTGGAATAAATCGCATGTAAATGAACTGTAGAGAAGGAATAAGAGCCATGATTCAACGTGAGAGTAAATGGTTGGTACTGGAAGGAGAAGTGTTCATCATCATCACAGCGATATTCTTTTCTCATGCAAATTTGTTGGCATTCCGCTGATGCTAGAGGCATCATTTCCCCTCTTGTTCCTCATTTTCAAAATGAGCATAAAAATGTACAGCACTCCAAATGTTAACAGGCCTGGAAGGCAGAGGCAAGCAAATAGATGAGGTTCATATAGTCAGGGCCGTTTCATTGGTGCAGCTGCCCACTGCTGAGGCTTTTTTTTCCTGATGTCTCATTCTCCTGGCCTCTTCAACCCTGCTCAGTGTCTCATTTTCAGTCTTTGGATGTCCACCTCTGCCAAATCAGTGTGCTTTCTGTGGCCATTAAATCTTTATAGGCACCACTGCCTTTCACAAGATAAACTGAATAGATTTGTTAAAATCTAGTCAGCAGACATACATGGTTTAATATTGTACCTCAACATGGCTTTATCCCATTTAGTGAAGTACTGTATAATCACAGCCTGTGTTTCATCAACCTTGAATAAGACACACAATAAACTGTGTCCAGTTTGCTAATATTTATACCTTCTGGAAAGTCTTGCTCAGCTGTTTCTCTCATGGATCAATAGTGTGTCCAGGTGGAGTACACTGCAAACCACGTCTGATGGATCTTATAAGGTCATACACAGAAGGTTGAGGATAAGTCTGTTGCTTGACGGCGAATACCTTTTCTGAATGGTAGCACCAATTACAGAGTGCAAGACATCTGAATCACCATAACTTAACAGCAAAGTGGAGATTTTAATCACCTCTGAGCTCTATGAATATGGAAGTGGGAAAAAGAATGAGAAAAGTTATAGATTAATTCTCACCTTTTGGAGCAAAATCAATTTAATTTTGATGGATATAAGGGAGCTATGCTCTGTCTCTCTTACGCCAGGGAAAGACAACCCAAAATTTTTGTCTTGTGATGGTTACTGTCAGATCAGGAGATCATACAGCCATAAGCTCTTGCCTTCACTTGGCTAAGAGACACAGCAGACTCACAGACTATATAGAAATAATGGGTGTGGCCACCATAACCTCTTCCACTGGTATGTGCACTTCTGCTTTGAAAGCTTGTGTTCGGCATTGTTGGCCCTTGCCATCTTGGATTTTTGAAACCAGAAGTGACCATCTTTGAATAAAGTGTGAAGCTGTGGAGGTCACCATCAACATGTCCATAGCTCTGGAGGTCGACAGAGTATCACTTGTGCAACCAGCCTCAAGTAGCCATTAGAGGAACTGCAGTTGTTAGCACTAGGTTTCCTTTTTTTAGCCCCAGAGGTTTACACATCAGACCCCAACTGATCATAGTTTGCATCATCATAGTCATTCTCAACTTCAGGAATTGCCCTCACTGTTCCACCTGACAGCACCAACAACATAATGGGTATCCGACTATCCGCACAGAGAGTTGAAAGGTTACCTAGCCCCACCTTATCCTGCAAGATCGAGCTGCATGGCAGAAGCTAGCAAGTTGTAAAGGCTAGCGGGTCTGGCATTGCAAAATGTGATTTGTAAGGAAAAAAAAAGCCTGTTCAAGGCATCACTACCCTTGGCCTTTGACACACCAGGTTTGCTAACAAGTTTGCCAGCCATGGCCAAATAACTTGCATATCAAGATCCTATTTTGTTGAGTATAAATTCTTATTTTAAGTTCTCAGGATGTTACCCCCTTATTCCCTAACTTCACATCTTGTTCCCTTGCACCTTGGTACATACTGTACTACTGCACTGTTGGTATGAAACAATAAGGGCACAGTCACACATTAGCAAATGCTGGCAATCGATCAATGCCTGCCAAGGCAATATTTATGCTAAATGTGGGCTGTGCCGCACGTGGACACAGAGTTGCTAATAAACGTAAAATATGATGCTATTGGTAAATTTTTGATTTTCTCCCATTAAATGCCTGTCTCCTAACTCACTGTCAGCCAGGCAGCATCTCTCATGTAGGGCAGTTTATATTTTTCATGGCCAATATCATAAAATATCAGCTGGTAAAACACAGCAACAATCAGTGTCTCCTCCACACATACTTCACTACTGATTGAGGCTGCGCCTTCGCCAATCAGAGTTCACTAAAGTTGAACTCCATGCGAAGCAAAGACATGAAATTTGCTTTGCCACCAGAAGCAAATGTCTTACTTGTCCCTCTGCTGCACTGAAAGGAAGCAAAAGGGAGGCAAATATTTGCAGGTGTTACTTTGCTCATGTGTGACTGTATACTGTATAAATTGAAAGGAATTACCTTGTACCCTGCAGTATGTTTTAAAGGGATATTTCGGTTTATTTCAATCTGTCTCCTATCGTCCTAAATTTGTTTCACAAAGACCGCCTCATATCGTTAGGATAAATGTCAGAGAACATATTGAAAACGACATGTAAACGCGTTGTCTTACCTTACCGGTGTGCTGCCATGTTTGTTTACCATCTAGCTCTGCTTTCCAAAGCGCGGCCAAAATATATCTCGAGAGCTCTAGATAAAGCCCAGCTGGATACTACTCCAGGTGAAGGTGTCTCGTCCTCGGTCACATCCAGACCTTGAAAATAAGGCTGCAAGGCTGGTCCCATTCCTTGCAACAGAGGCATTCCTCTTCTGTGCGCACTAGGGCACAGCATTCACAGGTACACCACCAATCTCCAGAGCTATGCAGCCTTGCAGCAACCATTCCTCCTCTCTCATCCTCTACCTGTTGTGCCTCTCTCTCTCTCCTCCTCCGTTCTTCAATTTCACGAAGCTCTTCATAAGTGTATTCTGGCTCAAATAAATAAGGGCGGCCATCAAACTCTGCAAAATCAAATTCCTCCTCCACAAAGTCAAAGTCTGGCAAAAAGTCAGCCATTATTAATCTTTCATAAAATAAATAAATGAACTTTTCAGGCTATTGTCCGGTTCTGCCTTCCAGCTGTTGCTGCTTGTTCAGGCACGCTATGAGATCGCTGCTTGTTCTCGCGATATTTCGGCTGCGCTTTGGAAAGCAGAGCTAGAGGGATAAACAAACATGGCAGCACACCGGTAAGGTAAGACAACACGTTTACATGTCATTTTCTACATGTTCTCTGACATGTATCCTAACGATATGAGGCGGTCTTTGTGGAAAAAAAGCTTGTTTAGTGGACTAACTTTGCACTTGAAGGTTGCCCGTTCACTTACGTTTTAACAGGTCTGACGCTACTAATGCGCCCCGACTGTATCTAGGCTAATGGCTAACATGCTAACTATTATTTTTATGTCACTAGTCACTTGAAACAAATTTAGGACAATAGGAGACAGGTTGAAATAAACGGAAATTTCCCTTTAAGCATTACCAGAACAACATCATTGTGTCTTGCTGAACAAATCTTTTGGCCACTTTGTTTGGAACACAAATCTTTGTACATATGAATTGAAAAACCACAGCCATAAATCTAAAAGTCATTTGTTTACTTTTGATGTGTGTGTGTGTGTGTGTGTGTGTGTGTGTGTGTGTGTGATTTACAGCTGGAGTGCAAACAGCTGATGAAATCTTACAGCAGTCGTCAATTAGTGCCTCTGCGTTCCAAGGACATTCTCTCCCAGCACATTAAGCTCCTTCCAGCTCCATAACATCTCACTGGTAATTACTGTAATATATACTCTACTGTTAGCATCATCGCTTTACCAAAATGAGAGGGGTGTGATGAGTCAGATATTACCTACAGCAGTGAAACATAAATTTTGCTCTGGTGTCATATTGTTTGTATTGAGAGTACAGTTGGCCTTTGATAGCTTCAGGGGAGATGAATTTGTGTCAAAGCAGGCCACCACATGCTGAGTGACTTCAAAACGAAGCCATCAACCCCTCTGATTGATGTCCTCAGGGTGGTCGTAGCTCATACAGGAGCTATCTGTGTCTGATTCATGGCGGTCTTGGATGAGACTGTTTCTTCAATAGCTGCTAGTAATAGATCAGTGGAGGCAGAGGTGCAGGGTGTTGAGGGAAAAACTGATACTCTTACAGTAGAAAGTAACAATAAAGCACCATGCACGAGGAGCTGCAGTTATCGTCTCTGTTTATTAAAGACAAAGAACAATACAAAATACGAAACAATCCATCAAACAGCAACGCAGAAAAAAAGCTTGAGACAGAAATGTGCACAAAGCATCACCTCAGATGAAAATACATCAGATTTTGTCATCTTTGTGTGTGTTTGCCTCACAAAAGCTCATGTTCATGCTGCAAACTGCACACTGTGCAGAACAGAAACACAACCTTATCACAACTGTTTGGTATTTTCCCCCCCAAAAAAATACGCTTCAACTGAGAACAAAGGGAGGGATTAATAAAAGTGCACGAATGAGAGGTACTTTACAATCTTCAAACTTTTTTCACTTTCTCACATATTCAAGTTTGGAGCTTATTAGCTTCCACTGACTGGTTTGAAATGACAGAAAACACACAGATGGAACAATGGATCAAAACAAGCTATTATTTTTTAAAAATGCACTTGCTGACACATTTGAAAACACGATATTGAATTAATTTCACATTGCACTGCACAATCAATTTCAAGCAACTTTACAGTATAGACCAAATAACCAGCCTGCTGCTCGCTAAGAAACAGCTCCCTCTCATTTAGTTTACTCAGTATTCATTCCCTCCGAGTGCTCTTCACTTTATACATATACACAGCTCAAACAAACAGCAGAAAATGCTTCTTTTAATAGCAGGGTGAGCTATATACATACTGTGGATTGCACCAACTCAAGTATGGCACTTTGTCGCAATCTATTTACACATTTCATCATTGCTCTGTGGGTTTTGCTGAGCAGATAAATCGCAGAAAAGTGCTGCACTCTGCAGTCTCAGGCAATATCAGTGAATTACTGCCACGACAGTTATCTGACCCTTTGACGAACAGCCCCTCTGTCTGCACATCAGGGTTGCACATTTCTTCCTCATTAGAATACACTGGCTACTGACCTTCACAGGCTTCTCACAGGCTCCACAGTGGCTGTCTTCACAGTGACCAAGCAACTATAAGCTTTGGTGTGTCTGTCACTTTTAATTCCCTGCAGAAATCATTCAGGTTTTAAACTGAAACTGCAGGTTTAAATGAGTGCCTGTAATATCTGTTCTTTTCTTTACTTGGAGCCTTTAAAAAGGTCGTGTGATTCTATTTCTGTGCTCTCTCTCTGGTGCCGGGATTAAAATTCACAGTGTTGTGCATTTGGATTCATTTGAGTGATATGGTTTCTGATGGGGAGGTCAATGAACCAAGAGGAGAGACTGTGAAGTCAAACCTGGATACCATGTTAATGTAAGTCTATGGCATCCAGATGGGGAATATAAACACATGAATCAGACTGCTTGATGACATACTTTTACCAAGTCCCAACACAGAAACAAAGACAGTATATCTCTAACCAGCCATATCCAATGAAAAATGTTTTAATTTACACATTACATTAGGGCTGTTACAGTTCATGTATTCGTACTAAAACATCTCCGTATGGGGGTCCTGTGCATGCAGAATACACAGTACTTAATGAGCATAATGCAACGCTAGCAACATACCGTAAAACTTCAGTTAAACGCCCAGTCCCTTTTACTAGCCCGGTGTGGCTTCACATTTTGACAAATAAAGGCCTGGCTCAATTAGGCACCTGGACTGGTTGCAGAGCAGTTCTTTTTTTTTCTTTTACAGATGTTCTTCGGATGTATAAACCAAGTTGTTTGCTACCTCAAATTATGTGTACATTCCTTGATTACCCTCTAAGTTATTCATATTCCTTTAGTCCATAGGGTCCTCAGGTCAAAAGGATCAAAAGGGTTTTTCATAAAAATGAATCCAAGTTGTGAGTTTTAACAGGATAAAGTGTTGTTGTGTCGGTGTGCCGGGTGCCGTAACTCTCTGATGTGTTGTCTGTTGGAGCTAGATCAAATTAATGATTCATAATTTATATATTATCTGAAGCCTAATTTTTAGACAAGTAACATTCATACTGATTTATATAAACAATTTGATTTTACTCCTGGTCTTTGCTGATTAAGTCTAGTGTGAGAGGAATTAAAGGCCTGTCCCATACAGACACCTGTTCCAAAGACAGACCTGTTGATTTCAGTGATTTAAGCAAATAATAGCCTGAGCTATTAATTCATGTTTTATGGTATGCTAAGGTTAGCACAACAAGCAGACTGGTGGGCAAGTCAGTCACACTATGGAGAGAGAAACTGAATCACTGAAGCTGGAAAACTGCCTGCGGGTTGCCAGTTAGCTACGACAGCAACGGAGAAAGTTGTGAGGTCAACAACAGTGTGTCGGCATTTCTCCACCATTGTAGGGTAACTTATGTGACGCACTTTTGACAGCGTCGCCAATTTGCCAATCACCAGTTCCAGTGCCTCTCAGTTTAAAGCATGTTGTGACCTGTTGCCTTTTGGGAAAGGTTGTTCTGTGTACATACAGTGTTTTGAATGTTCCTTATTTTTGCAATGAAAATAGTTTATCAAAGTTGCTAATAAACAAATGTTACCTCAATCGTCAGCAGGAAGATTGTGTCTGTCTGAAACTGTCTGTTCAAAATTAATGAGAAGAAACATATCCTTATGCATTTGGGGTTTTTTTTCTGCTCTACCAAACTCACACCTGACGTGAATCCTAAACCATGGTATGAACCGGACCGTGACCTATATACTGTTACACCCCTACATCATTTATTTAAGGTACATTACTAACTACTCAACAGCAAAAATTCACAGCGACCCGACTAATTTCACCTGTCTATCAAACTATTGAAAAACAAATCGACCCCCACTCTGTCAAAGTAACAGCGTTACTGGGATTGGTAATTTATAATGTATACTACCGAATTTGAAATTGTAATCCCTTACACAACTTGTTATCGAAAAAAACCCCAGTGGTCATATGGTAGCCTTTTACAAACTGAGATACGCACAGCAGGGTTAGCTGAGTTAGCTAAACACATCACATGCCACTGTTTTGGTATTAGAAGTTAGGCAGCCACTACCACAACAACCTTAAATGGTCAAGAGGTGCTGAGGAGAAACCAGCATTACTTTGGCTACTTGGTCCTGTTGGGCCCTACAGTAGGGGTGGACGATACCTTAAAACTTGGTTACGATCCAATACCATATAAAACAGGGATAGAATCACCAATATTGATACTGATTCAATACTTTATATTATTAAAAGTGTACTTTCATGCAGGGTAAAGCAGTGTGTCATGATTTATGAAGTGAATAATCAGTCTGCTAAAGTAACAACCAATGATGCTGAAGATTTGATTTGACTAAAATATTAATTTCACTTCTTTATACGTGGATATTCCTTTCCTGAGCTTCTCTGAAAGATTCTGTCAGTGAACTCTTTCTCTGTGTTGGAGGCAAGGATGCTGAGGCATTTTACCTTTTCCTCCTTTCTTTCTGGTGGCAGCTCCAAGTTCCCTTTCTCGTGTTTTGTTTTTTTTCTTCTTTCATCAAGCCATCACTGCAATTATGTTTTGGGTGAAACTAGTCAAGGTGCACGCTGCAGTGTGCTGCTGTCTGCGTGCACACAACACAAAAACAGTACATGCACTTGATGCATTCATGACAACAAAACATTGCTTGACAGTTTTTTTGTACTGATCCTCTTGATGCTATGATCGAGCTTCACAATTAAAACGTAAATTCAATTGAATCAATATTTTGATATTGGTCTGCCCACCCCTACCACAAAGTTAGTCCCAAACAGTGCTAGGCTAATGTCATTTTGAGTGTGACATGAAATAAACAGTATAGGTGATGCATACTGTCAAAGGGAAGATGGGAAATACAAGGAACTAATTTAAACCTGAAGCACTGTCAGTGGGTGGCGGCGTTTAATTACTGTCACCAGTAATTAACAAGTAGCGAGACTCTCAAGATAAAAACTCCCACAACAAACTGTAACATTACTAGTTTAATTGATGAATGTAACTGACGAAGATATAAGTTTCATGGCTGTAAACATTTCACACAGTGTAGGGATAGTCTGACATAATTGGTGACTTTATCTTTATTTTTATATAATGTATAAATATAAATAGATATTCTATCTGCAGCTTACACAGTTCTTGATCAATTTTCTTGTTCTGCATCCTGCTACATAATCTTAAGATCAACATACATATCTTGATAAATATTTCTATAAATATTGAGATAAAATATTTTCCCGCCATTAAGGGTTACATATTGTTGTACTGTATGTCAATTCAGTTTCAGTTTCCTGTGTCAATGTGTCAATAAACTGTGTTTCTTCAAGATTCATGAAAGCTCCCTGCACTTATTTTGTATAAAATGCTAAAAGTCAGCTCATCCTATTTGGCCTTTGGCAACTTGTCTTGTCAAATAAAATAAACATTTTTAAGAGAAAATACCTTGGTGAAATTAAATTAGAGATGTGAGGGTACTTTTCATTAAAACTTCTCTAAAATTTCCCATGGGTGACTGAATCCATACTGCAGCTGTCAGAGTCTCTGCTATCCTCTTTAGGTGGAAAGTATTTTATAGTCAGGCTTTGACATCACTCCCTGACAGACAAGGCTCTGCGAACGGCATCTTCTTGGCACTTGGCAGGATGCTGGCGGGTAGATACTGATCTGTCGGCGTGTTTAGTTCATCCATTTCTGTAGTGAAGTGGTCGGGACTTTCCCCGTTGGACGTCTCCTTGATGACACTGTAGGTTAGCGCCACACTGTAAGAAGCTGGTTTCTCCATACGCTGAGGGCCGCAGTGACACAATTTCTTAAAAGCAGCACGGAACTTCTGGGACATGGCGTTGTAGATGACTGGGTTGATGGCACTGTTTAGGTAGATGCAGAGACGGCAGAAGAGCAGGAACCAGGTGTCCAGGTAGGGCTTGTCCAGGAAGGAGTTGACCACCACTAAGGTCCGGTAGGGCATCCAAAGTAAGGCGAAGAGGATCACCACCACAGCCAGCATCTTTGTCACCTAACAAAATTCAATCATATGTTAAAAAATGCGACGGCAAAATGAGATCACAGAAAGACAGGCACATGGGGTCTATACAGTATGAGATTTGGAATTTCGTGGAGTTCTGTTTTGTTCAAGTGTCCCTGTAAGTTATACCCGAATGCTGACAGGTACACAGAATTCAGCTATCATTACATTTTTCATCTGTACTTTTGACATTTCAAAATGTTTTCTGGAAAAAAAGCCTGTTCTTGAATGTACAATCCTGATTTCCTAAAGATAAATCCTGTTTTGATACAATTTGTGGTCAGTATTTTTTCAGGAGTAGCATATCACATGTGGGATTCAATCTACCCATGCATTTATGTATTGGCTGCGCTGAGTACCATTTGTTCCTCTGCTACACAACAAGTCAATTCTGGGACTTGTGGTTTTAAACCAATCTGCACCAGATCCACTAGGACTGAATTCTTAAGGATTATAACTATGGGGTGTGTGATCCATCGTGCCCAAAGGACTCACCATACAATCAGCTATCAACAGGAAATGCTACATCTGTATCCTCTGTGGGATGCCTTCAAGTTCAACAAAATTCTCAGACCAATTCATATTATAGGCCCACAAAACAAACCGAGAAAAATGTAATCAAAGCAAAACTACAAATAAAAACCTCAATAATCTTTTTAACACTTAAAAATCGTCAGGGATAAAAATAAGGACTTTTTCAGACACATTTGTAAAGTCTTTTAAGTTTGTTGGTGTTTTACAAGTGTCATTGTAGAGTGGTAGAGACCTCCCAAAACTTCAGTTTCAAGAAATGAAGCTCTAGTAAATGCTCAGTCAGGAAGGCTACACCTGTCATGCTTAGGCCTGTAATTTATCTCTTGTACTTCATGCCATTTACTCCTTACACACATGCTAACTCCAGTCAAAAAAAGCTCACCAACACACCTTCTCTGTTAGCCTATCATGATTGTCGTACCAAAATATCTCTGGTTCTTTTTTTGCTTGTAGTTCTCTTATGCTGCAGTCGTGCGTACCTTTCACCTCCCTGTCATCACCTAATCTTCACAGATTCATCAGCCTCATCAGCCATCAGCCTCAGAGTCATCAGCTACCACCACCACCAGTGTCTGGACTTCAAAGGGAGATTTATTTTACTGCCGCTCAGATGACCCTCGATCACAAAATATATCCCTCTGGTGTCCAAGTGCCAAAGTCTGCTGTTAAATCTTATTTAGCTCAAATCATTTGTTAATCTGTACACCTACATTCTGTATCAAACTTCACATTCACCTGTCTCTCCTGATTGAAATTTTTTGTATATACAAACTACAGATATCATGTAAACCGGACATGGTCTACTATCAATATAATATATATCTCTGGGCTTTATTTCATTTTAATGTACACATTCACTGTTTAGCTGCTCTCATTTTAATTTTTTTTTTTGTCTGGTTCTGTTGTCAGACAACAGATTGAGCGTATGGTGGTTTGATTTTGGCTTGTGAATGTTAAATAACACTGTTTAAATTATGTTGTTCTTTGCATTCATTAAAAAACATCTTTTGTCATCAATTGGTATATTTACACACACACACACAAAATGGCAGGAAAACAGTGGCTGAACAGTTGGTGTGCATTTGTGAACATAATGCTAGGCTAGATGAAACAGAGGGATGACTGTAACTCTCAGCAGACCTCCAGCAGATGACATGATGCATAACGATGACATGATTGTCCTCTTACTCTCTAGGACATAGTAAAAAAGGGGGAAAAATAACCAGTTGTTACAAGGCTGTAGTAATGCTGATTTTGTCAGACAATCTCATAGAATTAGGAGTGCAGGAGTTATGGTTTTCCTGGTTAGCAGGTATCATTAGCATTCATCAGCCACAATCAAATCACATCAAAATGCAACGTATGAGATGATGGAAAGCAGGAGAGGATTGAGTGCATGTCTAACGAGCTGAGACTGTCGCACTGCTGCTGACTGTCAACACAAGGGTTTTTTTTGCTGAACAAAAGACAAACAAGGAAAGATTTAGCAATTTTCCCACTGATTTGGTGTTTCAGTGTCAGGGGAGTCGTAGTTGGGCGGAAAGTGGGACTAATTACCAAGGGCCCAAATTGGAGGGAGTCCCAAAAGCCTAGAATGTAAAGTTTGGTTTTGATTGCATTTTTTAACAAGTGTCATGACTAAATTAAAATTGGCTGAATAAATCAGTCGAAAGACTAAACTTATAAAACCCTCTCACCCCTAAAGGCACAAAATGGTTAAGTCCACCCCTGCACTGCTGGAGCACCAATGTACACTGTCATGTCTTTCCCCAGGAGAGAGAAATTGGAAAGAAATGAAAAAAGAGAAGAACCAAAGTAAAGGAAAAGCAAATAGACATGGATCTAGAGAGGAAGGACAGGGGGCCCACAGAGACTACTTATGCATATACGGTCCAGACTTTGGTGCTACATCCCTGTTCACTGTGGTCCAAGATCTTTCCCATAAGGGCATGAAAACCCATAGCGTTACAGCCTTTGCACACCAAGTCCATATTTTTCGTCCAAAAATGTTGCACGTTTACACACCTACACCGAAATATTTGTCCGTCATTGAAATTTTTCGAACAGGTTTGATTTTCTGCAATTTTTCACATCTGTCAAAAGCCTTTGAAGAATATGTGTGACCAAGAAGCAGTAAATAAAATGTGGTGTAACCTGCAGGACACACACATCTGCAACAAGAAGGAGGAACAGAGCAGAAGTGGACCACAGACCAGCAAGAAAGAGAAATGGAAATACATGGAAGCAAGGTCCTTCTTGAAATCTTTCATGATAAATAAAAGGTGATGTTAACCTATCCAGAAATGCATAACATAAGTGAAAATGCTTACAGCTGAGTACAATTGTTATAGGCACACTCAATCATTTCATAACTCAGGTAGCTGCGGTGCCAAAAGCAAGATGCGGGTAAAGAGTGCCAACAGCCTAGGGAGGTAACTCCAGTGGAGAGAAGCAACCGCTGATTATTGCAACACCCCAATAGCCCAATAAATGTTCCATTTAGCAGAAAGACTATTTGTCCGACAGTCCATTACCTAGAAAGCCATTGCTTCGAAGGCCCATTGCTCCAAAAATACACAAACAAAGAGATCATCAGACCTTCCCAGGTGTCCTTTTTTTCCTACTATGGCGAAAATAAGGCCCTCTGTGCTCTGCCTCTGATTGGCTAGCACTCGTTGTCTTCGTTGATTGGCTTGGCTAGGCTTAGGCAAAAGGAGACTGGTTAGGGTTAGAGTAAGAATATTAGAGTTAGCCCATCATCCAACTGATTACTTACTTACAACAGGGAAAGTGTGTATTTTCAGAGCAATGGGCCTTTAGAGCCACAGGTGTTTGTTTTCAAGGTAACAGGCTGTCAGACAAATAGGCTCTTAGTCAAATGGAACATTTTTTGGACTATTGGGGTTATATCATCAATCAATAACATGGCCTCATCAAGGGACCAAATGTGTCTTTCAAATATGCCTCATATTTCAAATTTTTCACAACAAATAGAACTTTTAGGGAATGCTACTGCCCAAATGCCAATAGCATCTGAGTTCTGTGGTCATTTCCCAGAATGACCAAACTCAGAAAAACAACCCAAAGAGAGGCAATACAGTGATGCTGTAGCTGTGATTTCAAACACAAATGTTTCTTTGCATTTCACATTGTAGCTCTTTGTCATATTTTTAGAATAATATTTATTTTGGTGTTGAGTTTGTGTTCTTGTTGGATGGTTTGCTGTCTCACATTTCTTTGTGTTTTCTATTAACAGACCAAATTAATCCCACAAATTTGTCAGTTCTTTGTTGTAAATAATATGACCATAAGCAGATCAATGTATAGCATGATTTTTTTCTCCAAGTACTGTTGCCTTTTTTCCCCAACAAATGACGCTCTAGAAAAATGCTTCTCAGGCTGCAAGTTTTCTTTCTCACCCTGCCATTCACTCCTTGTACTCATGCTCACCCACTACCACTAGGTGTCATTGTTTGGGTCTGTCAATTGAGTCATCAATTGCTCCTCATTTTAAATATGGCTCTTTCTTCACCATAGTTCTTTCTTGCTGCAGTCGTGCACACCCACCACCTCCCAGTTACCACCTAGTCTTTACAGATTCATCAGCCTAAGCAGTCAGCAGCCTCAGAGTCATCAGCCACCACCACCACCACCAGTGTCTCGACTCCATGGGGGGATTCATCCTGCTGCCGCTCAGATGTCCCTTATCTTTACTTCATTTTTCTGTCTCTCCTGATTGAAATTTACTTACCGGCTTACAAAGAGTTTTTGTGTGGAGTTACCATACCAAAATATCCATACCTTACACAGAATTTTCTTTAAGATTATAGTAAATCTATTACATCTTAATTCATATAAATGGGATGCTCTGGTAGGTAGGTGCACTAAAATCATGTGCAAATTTTTTTTTCTTTCAGAAGAGAGCAGTATTAAAACATCATTACTTAATGATTTATGCAATTACAGCCTCATAGACATTTATGTAGGAAAACAGCAAAAGTTTTGTCAGTTGAGCGATTCATCCAACCTGTAGGTTTACTACTTGCAATGACACCATGTGTTAGAGGGACATGCGACAAACCAAGCTGTTCCTTGGAAACCCCTTTAAACAACTCTGCTGCAGATCTCATAAAACATTCATTATTTATTCAGATGCTGTTAATTCATTTTCAACAAGGAAGACTGATCTGTGTGCGCAACTTAACAAAGCCTGGCTTTTTTAATATAATTACCAGATGATAATACTGATGTGAAACTCGTATGTAATTAAATCGTATCCATATTTATGTTGTGTCGTCTCTGCTGCAGTCAGGTGAGGATAATTGGATTGGATAGAGGCACCGCCAGTGTCATCAGCAAGCAAAATACCTAATCTTGGATTCTCATTACTTCTTGACCTTTAGGTAATTCAGTAAGGTACATAGTAGATGGCATGAATGCGGTTAATGCTGACCACCAGAAACACATGATCGTGTGTCAAAGACAAAACACAAGCCTTACAGGTGGAGAAAAAGACAAAAGCCTATTTGTGTTGGGGTTAACTGATTAGACTATCCAACAGAGCATGGAGCCCCTCAGGGTACCACACCCCCTGTTATTCCAGGGCGGCTTCTTCCCGTGATCTGATAAACAAACATCTAGCTCTGCTATCTACCTGTGTCTGGCACCCAGTGTCTGAACCTCTGAAGCATTCTGTTTTATTTTGAATAAACTAGGAACTATTTTCAGGGTGTTATATGTTTTTTACAGAAAGAAGATGATGTCAAAGGAGGATGAAAAACGTGACAAGCTAGAGTGCTTTATCAAATTTTTTTTTAAAAAAAGTGTTTTTCTCAAGCATGCACAAAAACACACGTGGACACTAAGCAAGGTAATTCAAGAAGTGGCTGCATCATGAGCTCTTATAAAGACAGCATCCATCGATAACAAACAAACCTTGATACTAAAAAAATACCTGTTGATTCATCACTTTTGTCAGTTTTCCGTTTGCCGCTTCATGAATTTGTGCTGCAGAGTTTTGAAAAAGGTGGATCAGCTCTGTTCCACTGAAAAAGAGTGGCAAATTGAGTTCTAGGTGCACTTGAAAATACACTCATGAAAGTAAATGAGTGCTGGCAGCACAATGATGCACTGTATATAAAGTGAGTAAGTAGGGGAGCTTGGGTTCAGTTATAACATTTTCAACAACAACAAAAAAAAGGATAGCAAACAATTTTTAATAGAAAGTGCACATTTTGATCAATTATTGCTGGGTCCTCTTTAACAGCTCGTAAAACATTTCACATTATTGTATTACCTTGATACTTAATGACTTTATGAGAATTGCTTACAAACATGATTTTAACCTGATGACTTTTTTTTCAAAAGACCACTTCAGATCTTCTGTTTGCTATGATTGGGTCAGAAGCTCCAGCAGGACTAATTATAATGGATTTTCATACAGGGCAGGGAGATTTGTCGGTATTATATCAATATTGTAATATCATAAGTGTTGTCTTTCCTGGTTTTAAAGGCTGCATTACAGTAAAGGGGTGTTATTTTCTGAACTTGCGTGACTGTTTTAGCTGTTCCTTTCCCCTTTATCTACTTACGCATTATATCCACATCACTGATGATTACTTATCAAAAATCTCATTGTATAAATATTTTGTGAAAGCATCAGTAGTCAACTCTACAATATCCTTGTAATATTTATATTGAGGTATTTGCTCAAAAACATTATTATATTTGATTGTCTTCATTTGGCCCAGCCCCATTTTCATATACTCTACTCTGGAGCAGCACAACCTTCCCTATTAAGTCTATTAAAGGGATAGTTCAATTTTTTTTAAGTGTGTTGCATGAGGTGCTTATCAATTGTTTGTGTATTACATTCTGTCAGTCAGCATGCCCTCAGTGTGGAGAAGCAGACTGGAGTCTGACACAAAAGCTAAGGAATGTACTTCTGTGGGGCTCAGCAACATAATGTATTTTAGCCAGGTAAGACCACATTTTTCGTTAGAATGATTAATCAACCAATCAAAGAAATAATTGACAGATTAGTCGACTATGAACATAATCGTTATTTGCAGCCCTATCAGATGATGCCCTCTACTGACAGAGATGCCGTTAATGGTTTAAGATCCCGATCTATGCTTTCTTCAAAGCCACCAGACTCCATTGACAAAAAATATATTTTAGCTTGCTGAACGCAGGAGCTGCTGCTCTACTGCTGCTTTGATCTGTTAAATAGTTTGTGTTATTGTGTGACTTTGGTGAATGTGAACTAACCCTTTTAAATGCCAAAGTCCCACAATAACATGAACAAAATAACTGTCTGAGGCAGTGACAGACCAGCAGCTCCTGTATTCAGCAATGTAAAATCACTGTTTTTCTCAATAGGGTCTGGCTTTTTTGAAGACAGCGATTTAGCGGCTTCATTTTCTCAGTGGAAATTAATGGTAAAGCCATAAAAATATTCTAAATATAGTATACACTTAAACTGATATTGATTTTGTTTTAGGTGAGACTTTTAGGTGGCTAATACATTTTGTTGCTGACCCCTCCACAGCAGTAGATTGCTTAGCTTCCATGTCAGACTCCAGCCTGCTTCTTCAAAATGGGGGTGTGCCAACTGGCATTTACTGTATGTGATATACTGTCTAAGGGTAAGTATCCCTTACAACCCCACTTAAAAAAATCTGAACTATCACTTTAAGATTTCTGCTATTGTAGCTTTATAATAATGTGCAGAAACATGAAATATTTCCTTAGCCTATTTGCTGTTATAATAATGTTTTGTGCTCCTTTATATCATTTTTCGTCACCTTCATCTAATATGCAAACTTTGTGGCTTGTGTTACCACCCCACTGCTTGCATTGGATTTAATGAGGAAAAGAAAAAGGGGAACAAGATTGACTTTGAAAGTGTTTTTTATGCATATCAGTGGAGCCTGTTGGACACAAAACAGTGAGGAAGTACACATATCAACAACACCCAAGGGTTACTGTTGGTAATGCCTTGTAGAATCAATATGGTATTAAATGTGTCCTTGTGTGTGGGATCAGCTGTAGGACCTGCAGTCACTGCATTATTCCACATGTCTCAGTAATCACATTATGTCCTCAGTAACTAGATCACAATTTGTTGGTAAATTAATTTTCCAATACATTGTGTTGGTCTCTGATGTCATCTTTAGAACATCTGAGCATATGGAGGTTGAATGACATCACTCAAACTTGTTTCTGATTGGAGGAAATTGGACTGACCTGAAGTCCAGCTGAACCATTATCCCTCGCTCACACACAGCACAAATACAAACACCATCATTACGCAGTGATAAGGTTAATGAACAAATAGTGTCCCCACCTGTCTGCGGGAGGCAGCCGTGGTGCTGCTGGAGGAGCAGGTGCTGAACATCCTCCCACCCTGACTCGCCTCCTTCTTCCACTTCTTGGTGCTGTCCTTTGGGTCTGAAGGCAGCGGGTTCAGGAAAAGTATCCGGGCGATCAGTCCGTACAGAACTGTGGCCAGCATGAGAGGCAGCACGTAAAACACCGCGAAATCTGTGAAGTAAATGGGCAGGTAGTAACTCCTGGACACCTTGTAGGCGCAGCTGAGCAGCACCACGTTGTTATACACCAACTTTTGCGTGTCTGACAGAAAGAGCCACATGACGCAGTAGACGGAGGTGAGCGCCCACACCAGCATGATGATTTTCTTCGCCCTGGATAAAGTGCACAGGAATTGCGCTTTGATGGGGTGGCAGATGGCGATGTAGCGCTCCACGGTGAAGGCGGTGATGGAGCAGGAGGACGCGTTTATCCCCAGATACTGAAAATAAGTGATCCCCAGGCAGCCCGCGTAACCGTACACCCACTGTCCGTGCAGTGCGTCGGTGATGTTGGGCAGCCCGGCGGCCGTCAGGACCATCAGGTCAGCCGCAGCCAGACTCACCAGGTAACAGTTGGTGGGAGTCCGCATGTGTTTGGTGGTCAGAACAACCAGTATCACCATCACATTCCCCACAATCCCCAACCCGCATATAAGGGACACCAAAAGCACGCTGACCACTTTGTATTCAACTGTGTAGTCAGTCCAAACACCCAGGGTTTGATTGCCCTGCACCGACGTGTCATTCTCCACAGTCACGTTATTCATGGTGAGGTTTTCCATAATGGGGAGGCTGTGGCTCTGTGCGCTTTAAAGAAAATTACACCAGGCGTTCAAAAAGATCACAAGAATTCATTGCAACAACCTGCGGGGCCCAGGTGCACCAGAAGTCCAACGACCAGAAACCCTCCAAAAACCCTCCAAAAACTTCATTTCGTCCACATATACACATATACTCTTCTCCACCAAAGCCAGTTTTTCTGATAGTGCACAGCCATCAAACGAAACTCCAATACACTGTCCATACACACACAATTAAAAGAAAAGCAGACTAAACCTGAATTGTTGGTTGAAGTTTTCAGAGAGGGGAGAGGTGTTGCAGGCAGCTCCGCGCCCAGCTGCTCCTGTCTCACTGCTCACACAGTCATGACTGAGAGCTTCCTGCAGAGCCTCTCTGCTTCTGAGAGCTTCACACACACAGCTCACAGTGAGGTCACTGGCTCCCACTGGAAACACTAAGTTTTCTCCTCTGATGCAGGAGCTGAAGGAGCTTAAATGGCTGTTAGGAATGCATGTGTCAACAATTATAATAAACAGATAATGAATGCTGGCTAACACTTCAATTGAATTCAGTTCAATTCAGTTCAATTAATTCAATTAAATTCAGTTCAGTTCAATTCAATGGAACTTTATTTATCCCGAAGGAAATTATTGTGCCAGAGAATGCTTCAAATTAAAGTAACACTAAGTACAGTAACCACAATTTTAACAGTTCACAACCAGTACCAACTTTCCCCGCGTCAGGGTCACTCACTGGGCTCAGTTTTAGAACAACAGAGTATTAAATATCTGGCAAAACATACAAATGTACAAGATGCTGTTTTTTAAGAGTGCAATAAGTACAAGAGTTATTAAAAATGAACTAAAGTGGTAGGGAAAACAGACGGTTCCAGATAATCAGTGTTGTATTGGATATGATAACAATGAGAAGTAGTAGCCTATTGCACATGACCGAGACAATGATATTGCACTACACTGACAAGTGAACATGATATTGACAAACAATATTGCACGATGTTCTGAAAAATATTGCACAAGATATTGAAAAATAGTGATGTACATCATATATAGGCTAGTAATAGTTCACCTAACGTATGAGCTCATTTATGATTACATGAATAAATCATTATGATGTATACATGCAATCATTCGAAGATGGGTTTTAAAGTGTATATACATTTCTTCAAAACTTTTATTACATGTAACTACAACTATATTTTGTCATTGAGCAGATAGAGAAGTAATAGTTGACAAATACAAAAAACTTGAAAATGTCCTTGTATGTGTTTGCGACGACATTACAGTGTTGATTTATACACTAACTATGAATGAATTATAAATGGGGGTGAAAAAAGTGTTACCAGTTAAATTGAACTGTTAATAAAGAGGGTCAAATCAGTAAAAGGGTAGCACATCATCAGTATTTCAGTGTACACTCTTGCAGAGGAAAAAGGCATAATTACACAACTTAATTTTCTGCATTACATGATGTTGTAGAAATATTACCAGATGTTAAAAAAAATAAACTTTTGGTGCCTTAACCAGCAGTTTGCCAATTATTTCTCTGTAGTTTTAAAGTTAGAAAACCTTATTCCATTCTGTCTCATGTATATTCTGTATCAGCTTGTTCCAACTTTTTATTGAAGCGACTGTATAATGTTCACACTGGACAAAATAATCAAACCCATGACTCTTTTTTATGGCTGCATCATTCCATCAAATAGAGAGAGTGTAAATGTGTGACCATTATACTGTATACACATTTTGCCAAAATCAGCCCATTTGGTACCTTTGTTCCTCTCTGGAAGCTCTGGAGATCTGACTAATGTTTGACTGCACAGCTTGAGTTTGCTGACTGACCCAGAATATAATCTCATAATCAACTACCAACGTGCCATATTCACACTGATGCTATATTGTCACAACAGGTGTTAAATATGAATGATTGACTGCAAAATAAGATACACATCAGGAGGACACAAAAGTAGAGAGAAAAGGCATTTATTTATACAATACAAAAAGGACGATTCAAATGGTAAATGGACTGTGCTTACATAGAGCTTTTCAAGTCTTTTGACCACTCAAAGCACTTTTACACTACATGTCACATTCACACACACGTTCACACACTGGTGATTGAGGCTACCATATATGGTGTCACCTGCGACTCAGTAGCCATTTACATGCACTCACACACCAAAGGAACAGCCATCAGGAGCACTTTGAGGTTCAGTTTCTCGCCCCAGGATACTATAACATGCAGACAGGAGGAGCCAGGGATTGAACTATCGATCTTACGATTAATGGATGACTTCTAAGAGTGTGCTTTCTAAGCCACAACCACCAAATATTAGTGACATTATAAGATATATTAGACACACTTTATATTAAGTCACTTCAATGGTGGAAGTAAATTTACACAAGAACTCTAGTCAAGGGTTTAGGGGGGTATATTGGCAGAAATTGAATATAATACAATTAGTATGTTTTTTCTAGTGTTTAATCACCTGAAAATAAAAATCTTTGTGTTTTTGTTACCTTAACATGAGCCATTTAAATCTACATAGGGAGTGGGTCCTCGTCTGCGGAGATCGTCATGTTGCCCCGCCATGTTTCTACAGTAGTCCAGAACAAACAAACCAAATACTGGCTTTCGATAGGGCCATTCGTGGTTTTGTGCTGGCTACTGCAGGTCGTCCAGGACAAGAAAGGTTGAAAAAACAGATTTTTCATGGAACTGCTTTATTTAGTGTTTTTACCAGTTTTAATTCACTGGGTCTGTTTGTTCTGGAGAGGAAGAGACCTCTGCTGATAATTTAGCTCCCAGTACAAATCTCCTGAACGTCTGGGTCTTAAGTTATCAGAGAATAAAGGTGAAAACACATTCACAGGCACTGCAGAGAAACCCTGATTTTTAACATGAAACAGCTTTATTAAGTTTTTTAAGTTAAGTTTTAATCACCTGGCCTGTTTGTTCTGGAGAGGAAGAGACCTCTGTGGATAATTTGTCTCCCGCAAAAAAACCTTCTGAACAATAAACACTTAAGGAATTCTAACCAGGAGAAGTTTCAGCTGGTTGCACTCTGCAATCCTTACCACTAGATGCCACTAAATCCCCCAAAATCTTACACACTGTTCCTTTAAGTATTTCCATTTTATGCTACTTCACACCTCTACTCCAGAACATGTCAGAGGGAGATATTGTACTTCTTTCACGAAATGTGATATCACATGTATGTAAAACTATATGCATTGTTACAAATTAAACTACCCATTAAAGTATTTATGAGTAGTTTCACCTCCATCAACATTAAAATGCTGCTTTAAATATGAAAGCAACTGTATAATTATAATTAAATAAAAATTATGTATAATAATACATCAATCCCAGGGGTCATTTACTTGCATCTGAGCACTTTTACTGTTGATACTTTGAGTACATTTATCTGATAATACTTTTGTACCTTTACTTAAGATTCTGAATACAGCACTTTTACTTGTAATAAAGTATTTACACTGTTATATTGCTACTTTTACTTGAATGAATGATCTGAATACACACACAAATTCAGTGCACACACTGCATGTACCGACAGGAATATTACTCTATTAATGCAGTGTGAGATAAAAATGCCATTAAAAGTGTTGTGGTCCCTGTAGCTAAGTTACCAAGTAACATAGTACATTTTGGGATAAAAGAGGAGATAAAAAATGATCCCATGATGCACAGACAGATCATTCTAAACTTCTTATTGGGTCCTAAAGGCATGCTGTTACCTTATTACAGGACTATTACGGTGATGGTCAAAAAGACCGAGAAGGTCACTTTAATATAACTTTTTAGTGCTGATGTGTAATTTGATGCGGTGTCTCCTAAATGCTCACAGCATGACTTGAAACCATGAGAGACATGATAACAGCCTATTGGCTCTTTTTTCTGTGTGTGTACTTTAGTGATACAGTTTGTCATTATTTAAAATGGCTGCATGCATGTGAACCATGTGTTAAATGTACCAGAGAAATTGTTCATCTCTCTACCTGTTATTCACATCTGCATCTTATATATACCTGTCTCATTGCCTCTGTGTTTCTGTGTGTCTCTGTCTCTCTCTCTTCCTGTGTTTTCCCTGCATCCAAACCTCTTCTCTTCTCACACCTCACTGGCAAGGAAGGGAAATGAAGGTCCCTGCTGTTCAGTTAGATTACAGCATCGCTATGTAGAAACAGAGAGGTGTGCTTAGGCGCTATCACCACACCCATGGCTGCCATTCGAACAATTCTCCTCCACAGGGGTAAACACCTGTAATATTAGATAGAGGAGCTGAGGGATGTGCGCATGATGGAGCTGCTTCGCTGTGGAAGACGGAGAGAAAGTCCTCTACTGTCTGCACTCATCTCCATCTGCAGGATATCCACTGTGGAAAAACAAACTGAGACACATGTGATTTAACTGTTAGTGATTAGCACCCCTCCCTCCTGGTGTTTTAGGACCCGTAGCCAAAAAGATAAACAAACTGGCTGAGGTTTCAGGCAGCCGCTCAACGTAGTCCAGATTAGTGCTGTGATTGTTATTCCCGGGGAAGCTGCATGGGCTCAAGTGAAAAAGAGAAGGCAGAAGATGAAAATTACTCAGATCTCAGCACAGTAGGCGATGCAGCTGTTTATATTAGTGTCTATATAACCTTCCCAGGAGGCTGGTTTAGCAATGAGAGCTCAGCAGTCTGCAGGAAAACTGCCTGGAAGAAGGAACGGCTCAGACTTTAGGCTACTTTTAACAAACAGATAAACAACAGACTGTGTGGATAAAAAGTAAGATTACGGAACTATTAATTGAAGAGTTTTTAGAAGTCAGCAGTGGACTATCTCGGACTTAGGTATCTTCAGCAAGTTCATTATCTTTGCTAAACCTCTACAAGCCTCCCAAAGGTTTAATATTAGTGTACACATAACTTACCATGTAGCATTAATTCATTGTCACCTCCGTATCGATCCCCTCTGTGTATCACAGGAAGGCTAAATGAAGTGTTTAGTTCAGGTGGGAGACCGTGGCAGGTCATCACTCCTCACAGCTGGGGGATCAAGGGGTAAAATCACATAATTCAAAGGTAAAATTTTGTAATTGCTGTCTGTAGAATGCATCCCCCCAGAGATGTCATAAACAGCAGGCTTGCCAAGTCATTTGAAGTGAATATTGATTCCCCCCTAATGTGAGTGGTCATGCTAGCTATGATTCATTTCAGTAGCAATAATGTTCCATGGAGACCTACTGAAAGTCCATCTGGTTGTTATAGGTTAGGCCTCCGAATCTATGACCCAAGTATACTGAATGCTAGCTTCATTATTCTAAGGATGTA